TGTTTTTTGGGAGTTGTTGTTTGAACTAAACCCGTGATTTTTTTTGTATAAGCTCTTCTTTGGGGTGAGATAGGAAAGTGGGCTGAGGCATTAAGTGATGTCTTTTATGACAATGTAAGCAATTGAATTTGCGTTTGCAATTTTTATATGTATGCGCATGTGACAAACAATTTGTACATAATTTTTGATCTCACGAAATAGTTTCTTTCTTTAATTTTCCGTAAGATTTGAGCTTATGCCCTCTTGTGCATAGTTCGCATGACGTATGTTTTTTCTGTTTGGATGTTAACGATTGCGTAGGGGTAAGAATTTACCCGCGTTAAGGCATGCCTGTCGTAAGAGGCGACTAAAAGCCAATATGCACTATGACCGTTATTAAGTACCTTGCTCAGTAATATCAGAATAGCATGTCAGAAATAGTGCTATAATACTCAGCTTGAAATGATATTATAGACTTGAAATGAGATTCCAAATAAAAAGACATTTGAAGTTCAAGCGACAAATGTCACCAGTCATTGAGTAATGGGTAGCTCAACTGGCAGTAGTTTCCGCTACACAGTCTTACCGGAGACTTTCTGGTACCATGGGGAGCAGAAAGCCCTTGGTCTTCGGTCCAATCTGCTCATTGGGTTATGGCCCCTTTAGGGAGATTCGTGTTGGTTGTGGTTGAAACCTAAATGCAGGAAGACCTGAAAATTCAGCTTAACTGTTTTTTCAGTTCTAAAAAGAAGTTGCAAAAAGCAACTGGGTTCCGTACCCGAAAACGGAAGAGGTTTTAGGTCGGCCTCGAATCTTACCAAGATGGTAGTGTGTGCCCAGACACACTGCCACTGGTAACCAAATGAATACTTGCAAATAGCTCGTATTATTTGGGGCGCTTATCAACGCATTGTTTTGACACGTTGTGCTTTGGAGCACCGTGAGGTAAGGCCGTCGCCGGCAGGTACTCACGTAAATCAACAACGAAATTTGTAGTCTTATCAATTCTTCACTTGCTTCTTTTTGAATTTTAAGCAAGTTTATTAGTGTCGTTACTTGTGTATCAACCAATATTCTTTCGTTTTCATATCAAGATTTTGGAGCTTCCCAAACCAAATTAAAATTGTCGTCATTTAGTGCGAACTGTTTTGCTATTTCCCCTGCTTGGCCTTTAGTTATCTATCGGAGGCGATGCAAGTTTTGTGTTTCTGATAATTTTGGATGATAGATATATACGACTGTAAACATGTCCCGGAAAGACAGCCATTCTTCATAACCTCCAAAAAATGTTTCTACATCACATGTGGGCACCTCGACGTGGATGCCTGAACTTGCCTCTTGACTTTGTACTTGTGGCAGTTCTACTCTCGGATGTGGAGTATGTGCCATTGCTTTTATTAGCTTTAATTGATCGGAGATCATAGCTTTTGTAGCTTCATACTGGTCTAAGCAGTTTTCGTATATTGCGTAAGCCGAGAATTTGAAACTTTGTAGTAGATCTGAGTCGTCAGAATCTACTAAGGCGTCATGAGCCGCTTGGAGACGAGTCAAACATTTTTCAAGATTTTTTTTCGTTGATTTATAAAATCAATTCAGAATGTTCTTGAATCGGTGAAGATAAAAACCGAGGGCAGTATCGTATTAACCTGTCACTCTCAGAAATGAATTTGGTGGCAAAAATATCTTTACTTTGCTCATTTGCTTGGTAGCAACCTCTTTCGCAAGTGTATCAAATGTAATTTGATTTTTAACAACATTCATCATTTTTGTAGTATGTTGAAGATATGTTTCAGAAGAAATTATATTTTTCAGTGTAAACTAATTTAAATAAAGCGATAAAGTATACTTAAAACCGAATACTGCTTTACGTATATACGAGTTTTTTTCGGATTAGATTACTATTTACTTGTGAAATAATTTTTTTTATTTGTGTAAATATTTTGTTGATTGTATTTTTAATTTTCTTATTTTAATTATTAAAAACCGCACCTTTAATTAAGCAATACTTTTTATGTCCTTATTTTGAGATACTAAGGTACACCCTAATACACGGACTTGTATGTATGTACGAGTATTTATGTTCTTATGCAATTGAGAGCTCGTTGAAGAAATCAATGCGCTTTGTACATACATATGTAAGTATTCAGGTATTGTTTGGGCGTATGTATGTTTATATGTTTATGTTCTTTTGGAGTTGATAGCTCATTGAAGAGAACAATGCGCTTTTATGTTTTTGTACGCAATCTTGCCTGTTTGTTACAAAGGGTATTGCGGGATATATACCAATGTGGACTTTGAAAAGATGTACAACTAAAATTGTATATGTTTTAATATGTATATACGTATATTGTTCAAATCAATCTATGTAAAATTTTTGTTTAACCGCGCTTTTTGTATGTTTGTTTTTTAGTAAATTATTTATTATTATACTCTCGCAACTTGTTGCTACAGATCATAATAGTTTTGTTCACCTAACTGTTGTTTGTATCACCTAAAACTAATCGAGTTAGATATAGGGTTATGTATATATAAATGATCAGGATGAAGAGACGAGTTGAAATCCGGGTGACTGTCTGTCCGTCCGTCTGTGCAAGCTGTAACTTGAGTAAAAATTGAGATACACAATTGAGTAAAAATTGGTACACATGTTTCTTGGTACCGTAAGACGGTTGGTATTGCAGATGGGCGTAATCGGACTACTGCCACGCCCACAAAACGCCATTGATCAAAAACAAATATATTGCCATAACTAAGCTCCGCAATAAGATACAAGACTGTTAATTGGTACAAAGGATCACATTAGGGAGGGGCAGCTGCAGTTAAAAAAAATTTTAAGAAGTGGGCGTCGTCCCGCCCCTAATAAGTTTAATGTGCATATCTCCTAAACCGCTAAAGCTATAACCAAATTAACTGGGAGCAAATGTTTTTAGAACCCCTATTGACGGTGTGAAAATGGGTAAAATCGGGTGGCAACTCCGCCCACTCCCCGTATAACGGTACTGTTAAAAAATACTAAAAGCCCGATAAACCAAGCAATAAACACGCCAGAGACATTTAATTTTATCTCTGGGATGGTATGAGATGACTTTATAGGAACCGCGCTCAAAATTAGTCAGTGGGCGTGGCACCGCCCACTTTTAGGTGAAAACCCATATCGTGGGATCTGCTTAACCGATTTCAACCAAATTCGGTGCATAACATTCTTTTTATATTACTATGTTATAGTGCGAAAATGGGCGAAATCGGACTACAACCACGCCTATTTCCTTTATAATACCATTTTCAATTCCATCTGATTCTTTCACTTTCCACTATGCATATCAAGCAAAAATGATTATATCGGGGTAAAACTTTGCGTGAATAATACGTTTAAAGTATGCCAAAATTGTCTAAATTGAACCAAAACTGTTCAAGCCCCTAAGTACTAAATATGTGGACCCCAGTGCCTATAGTTGACCTTCTACCGAAAATATCAGTCAATCCACAAAGAAATCTCAAACTTGTATACCATTTGACTTTGGGAGATTATAAAATGTTCGGTTACATCCGAACTTAGCCCTTCCTTACTTGTTATTTATGTTGTGTAGTTAGGTGTTTTAGTTTTCCCGCCCGATTTGTGTTTTTTGTTTATTTACAGTTTTTATCTATTTTGTTTTTGGCACGTACTAAATATATGTTTGCTTTTATATTAGGTCAAGTAAAAAGTTCGTTCGGTTTTAATCTAAGAGATGGCGTTATTGTCCATAGTACTAGTGTTACTTGTCGCATCATGTCATACTATACGGCGCTGAAAACGTGTTTATTCGCGCTAAAAGTTTGTCTTTGATAAAGCGGCTGAAAACATTAAGTTAGTTTATGGGCCCGATACTGTAAACGAACGTGTAGCACAAAAGTGATTTGCTAGGTTCCGTTCCGGTAATTTCGATGTCAAAGATGCACCACGCGTCGGGAGGCCTGTCGTCGAAAATTGCGATAAGATCATGGAAATAGGGGAACCAGACCGTCACGTGAGCACTTATTTAATTGCTGAGGAACTAAAGATAAGCCAGAAAACCGTTTGAAACCATTTGCATAACCTTGCATTCAAAAAGGAGCTCGATGTTTGGTCACACGAACTAACACGAATAACATGATGGACCGAATTTCCATCTGCGAATCGTTTCTGAAACGGATTGTGACTGCCGATGAAAAATGGGTCACTTATGACAACATCGAGCGCAAACGGTCGTGATCAAAGCTCGGGGAAGCGGCCCAGACGGTGGCCAAGACCGGATTGACGGCCAGGAAGGTTTCGCTGTGTGTTTGGTGGGATTGGCAAGTAATCATCTACTACGAGCTGCTCCCCTATGGCCAAACGCTCAATTCGGCTCTCTTCTGCCAACAACTGGACCGCTTGAAGGCAGCACTCAAAATTGTGAAAATTGGCTCTCCGATTTTTTTGGCAATAGGGACGCAGTCTTTTACGAGAGGGGTATAATGAAGTTGGCATCTCGTTGGCAACTAGTTTACGAACAAAACGGCACATATTTGACTTAAATAGGACAAATGTACACAAAGTTATTATCTTTTGAAAAATCAATAAAAAACCAAACGAAATTTTTACTTTACGTAATATTATTTTCTCTCCACACTATTCCTTTGTATATATCTATTTTATATACCAATATATGTTAATGCACTAGATTTTTGTTATCACTTTTTGTTTCACTGCACTTTTAAGCACTTGGAGACCATAATTTTTCGCGGCAAAATCTGAGATGGTTTTTTTAGTCAACGATTTTTTCATATTATAATTCACCCACGTTTTTTCTGTTTTTTTTTTTTTATATCCACTAGTGCCTTTCTGTAACGCTCGAAGGAATATGAACAAATTAAGACCCAATTTTACGGGGAGAGCACTGTGTTTCTTACACTGAACCATTAAAATTAAATATTTGTGTAATATTGTGGACAATTCCACTGTTTTCTATTTATTTTCACAAATTAATTTGAACCATCGCATTTATGTAAATTGATGACATTGATAACTTTGCGAAATTAATAAAAAAATAAGTGGATGTCGACGAGCCGGGCGTCGAGAATTCCACGATGTGTATAATAGAATCAGCTGTCCAATCGAATGAGGTGTTGACGCGGCGCAGTGAACAATCGAAACGAATGTCTGTATTAGCGAAAGAAGTGCGGGCGATGATCCCGTCCTTTTTGTTAAGTTGTGTAGTGTTTTCAAATGTTGAGTGTGGTGCGGTGCGTCGTATGTGGTGAGATCCTGTGAGTATTTTCAGGTGTGGTGTTTATTTACTGAGGCTTAGCTCATTTAAACCATCTAGTTTGCTTAAAATTAAAATCCTATCTATTGTCATATGTGTTGTGTTTGTATGTAACTATCCTTAGCAACTTTCTAACTTAATTATTAATCTCGTTCATTACTTAAAAATATATGCATACATACGTGCATATACATGAATTTTTTTATGTATACTTATACATATAATGGCTTGATTTTCTATGTATTTTTTTATTTCAGAAGCGTTCTCAACAGTTTTCCTGACATTCTCTCAACGCACAAGGGTGCGATGCAAAAACACAAAGAATGCGAACGTTTAACCTCTGAGCAAAAGATGAGAAATGCCTAAATGACCGATGTGAATCGTCGAAGCGATGTTATTTCCCATGCTGTAATGGCTGAAATGTCGCATTTTGAAGAAGAACGTGATACACAAATAAAACAGGTGCTTAAATCATTAAAAGTTCTATTCAAATGTCGTTAATACGCTGCAAGGTGGAATATAATTTTCAACCAGGAATCAAATCATATTTTATATGCTAATAGATTTATAATTGTAGTTTAAGTAATTGTTCATAAGATTGTTATGATAGATGCGCTTTACTTGTTTAAGTATAAATTTTAAGTATTAATATCTATATTTAAACTATATACATATATGGCAGTAATTAACTTTAATATTTTGTATATAACTTTTTATATCTTTTCAGTGAGAAGCTTAGTACCTATTAGTGTCTTGGTAACGAAAATATAGTCTTTTATTTAAAAGAAATGCAAAATGTTATGGTAACTAAAACGTAACCGAAATGCTAACATATGCATTTGTAGAGGCAACAGATGGATAACAAAGAGAATAATACGACGATGAAAATAAAATAACGGATATGCTAGTTACTGCTAACAAATGAGTTACAAATGCGCTAAATGTTTATATGTTAGAGGTAAACATACCGCTAACCACACCAATAACCCTTAGGGTAACTAATATTGCTGTTATGAGTAACACATGCATAGGTAGCCCATTCGTTAACACATTCGGTAGCATATGCATTTTTTACATCTAACAGACTGTAAACAGATTTGGTAACTGATATGTGCCATACTGCTAATCAAAATATTATATAATAAATAACTTCAGTCAAATTAACAAGCTGTTTTTTTTATATTTGTTAATTTCCCCTGGAAGATTAACATAATCACTCTTTGCTTTAAATATTCCTTTCCTATGTGTTTATGGACCTAATTGATCATTATTCCGTCGATTATTACTAGTACTAGCAATATTGTTCGAATTATAATTTTTTGCTCATACATACTTTACATTTTTGCTCGTCTATAACACATATCTTTGTTTTAATGTAATCAAAAATATGGTTTTCTTCGCATTTTATACTCTCGCAAAATGTTACACTGAATAAAATAATGTTCACCTAAATGTTGCTTGTTAACACTGAAAACCACGCTAGTTAGTTCGTTTATAGATAAATCACACCTAAATAAAGATATCGGAATAAATTTATATAACTTTTCAGTGAGGACCTTAGTACCTATTAGTGTCTTTGTAACAAAAATATTAGTTCATCTATAAGATATCTGAATAAAATTAATAAGGTTAGAGGATAAAGTTACGACTTTTCAAATTTCCGGTTGACTTTATATAGTACATGTATATGGCCAATATGAAAGAGATATTAACAAAATAAAATGAATGTATAATTTTGGATATACGTGTATATTCGAAAATGGGGGAAATCCGTGTATGAATTACCCTATCTTCATATAATTCATACTCGTATAATGATATTCGTGGATGATAGAAGGAGGAATACATTAGTCAATTTGTGTGTTAACTATAGCTTGAATCCAATATTATGTTGTTTTCTTAACCATGTTCTGATTTAGCGGTACAGAGGTTGGTCTAGTCCTCACTTCTCTGCTACTTTATTTTATATGCCCACTATATACTTATATAGTATTAGTTAATATTATGCTAATTATGATAAAATATATTATTTTTATGTTAACCTAAAACACCTGGAATATTTCAACGTTCCTTGCAAATTTCAGGAGTATAAAATGTTTGGTAATACCTGAATTTAAACTTTCCTTGTTTAGTAAACAGTTTTACAAACCGAAAAATATTACAAAGCTTATGCAGTTGTTATAATTGAATTCTCTATTATATAATATTTTGGCGAACACGGATGCCAGATCAAAACACAATCGACGATACACTGCTAGAACCAACCAGATAGCGAAATTCGTAGTTGCCAGAATGTTCGAGTAGCGAAGTTTTGTTAACAATCTACTATATAAGGGCAGCCGGATCGTTCAGCAGACACAGTTTTAATTAGAGTGTTGCCGTGTCATGAGCAATTAAACAATAAGTTGTAAACTCTAATAGTGTTAAGTTGTTTGGATGAGAAATAAAGATAAGTGTATAGCCATTAAATTGGGACTTTTATGTAACAATCCAGTGATCGAACTCAAGAGTGAGTTACAATGTAGACGATTTATCGAGAAATCCGCTACAATATTATTGAAGCATTTTTCTTTGGATAAGACATATATGGGGTGCGTTCGAACTACGTAATAATTACAGCAGCTTTGTTGCATATTTGACACTTCGTTGCTGATACTCTGCTGTTGTGCAGACAAAAATTGAGCGTTGTCGATTATTTGTAGAAATTGCGCGTAAAAAAAGTGACAACAGAACCTGATGATGTTGCACGTGTTGCCAGAAATTCACGCAGAACGTGATACTTTGAGACGTTTGCTACGCTGTTGTCGTGATTACCATCTCGAACGCACCCATGTTCTATTAGATTATTCGATCATTTGGACAATTTTCCCGATTTGAAGCACTACTTTATAAACATTCTGATGACTTATGTAATAAGTTAAGTTATTAATATGATGTGCATTGAACTACTTTTATAGAATATACAATAGTAATTTTGTTTACAACCTTACAGCTTTCAAGCTAAGGGGTAAGACTCTCCTCAGAAATTATTGACAACGTTCATATTTTCAAATAATCCGAATTTATTATTTTAATTTGAATTATATTAACAAGCAATAATGTGGAAATAACACCCCAATTTTTTAAGTCTACTTAATTTGTCAAGTTTGAATTCGTAAAACTAAACATAAAGAAATGGAAATAATTAAAATCAGATTGCTTAGTAGATTTGAATCGTACTGAAATTAGAAGATACTTGTGAGTTAAATGCCTTAGTTTTTCAACTAAATTAAATTTAAAGAATCCGATAAGTGCATTATTAAATAACAACTTAAAGGGATATAGTACAGGTCGCCTCCGAGTTGGTGCATTCTACGTAACGCTACATTACCTGCGGCCTTAGCAACTTGTGGATTTGACTATAGCTTTAACATGGATTACGGCTTGGAACTTATTTTTCTTTGAATTTCGTTTGAACCCTGGGCTGGTGGCTTAATGGCGCAACTGCATCCGTCCCGTTAAAATCATGACAGACCTCAGAGTATGGTTGGTTGAGCGTGCGTCAACCCTCGCCTTGGCCCCGTGAGAGATAACCTTGGGACGATTAAAGGCAACTACCTTCCGCGGAACGGATGACGGTACTGAATGGTTACCCTTTTAGCAAATAATAAACGTAGCGAAGACAGGACGAAATCGGGCTGTGAAACAAAATCGGAACCAATACCCAGAGATATCTCTGGGACGGAACCGTCAACGCCACTTAAAGACAAGACGCACTAGGGAAAGAAAGTCGAACCGACGCTTGGCAGCCAAAATTCTGGAGCGCTGCGGCGACAGACAGGCTGAGTAGGTATTTGTTCAGCATGCCAGTATTCATGCTTGAATGGTCCAGAAGGGTGCTGAGCAAAAGCAGTTTCAGAGAGGCAACCGAACAGGACGTGTGACAAACGACAATAAAGCGACAAAGGTCTCATGAGGGAGAAGCCTCTCGCGGAATAAGGCCCAAACGGGACTTGCGCCAATGTTTAGCTAAATCGCTAAACTCGCGCATTCCAATGAGCTTAGTGTATGTGATCGCAGCAGGAAGGATGGTGCTATCTTTCAAGAATGGAAAAGGATGGTAGCGGTTATTTCTGCGGTCTTCATGAGATGGTCAGAGGGAATCCTGAACCACTTCCAAGGCGTGAAAGTTCCGGGTGCCATGATGTGCTTCGTAAGCTTATAAGATGCGCTGATGAACAATCGGCAGCTAAGGGGGCCATGAGTTATGGCTTCGAGAAGGTGGCTATGAGGATTCTTCCTACAGATCCCAGGGCAGATGGCCCTTAACCCCCTAATACGGTAGAGGAGAAGGGCGAAGACGTCCTTGGGATCACGGAAGAAGACTCGGTTAAATCTGACCTAGTCAGCAACGAAGGCGGATCGTCGATTGGCGAATCCGTCTTCAGTTAGGAACGGCTGTTTGAGGAGGTGCGGGACACTAAGGAACAGTGCGCCGAGTTGGCGAAGTTGGTGAGGCACGTGTAGATAAAAGTTTCTTCAGGTTAATCTCCAACATGCAAAGGCGTCATCCGCAAACTTACTGCTCCGTCTGGAATGAGACGAAGTTGATGTCGTCCTGATCCAGAAACCGTTCTTGAGCAGTTTTGGAATTTCTGGATTGCGGACGAAAAGCCATGAGCTGTTAGCGGCCAGCCAAGCAGTTAGAACGAGAGCTTGCTTGCTAGTACGGAATGAACTAAAAGTTTTTCTCTTGCCTAATTTCAGCGACAGTGACATCGTCACCGACAAAGTAGGGGGCGAAGAAGGAGGTTTTTGGCTGATCTCAGCCTATAGCCACACCAGGATGAGGTGAAAGCACCTCCCATGCAGCTAAGAAAGGCACTAGAGGAGGCACGACAAAGAGTCCAAAGAGGCCAAAGAGGCCAGTTTTATAATTGGTTCCGGCACAAACGCGCGAAATACAATCTGTGGAAGCTCGGATACAAACCAGAGAGGTGAGTCACAAGAATAATAGTCTTAGCATGAATACTACATATTAGCACATTGATATGATGAATATGTCAAGAATTTAGAAACATTAGTTGTTTAAATGACTATAAACTCCCCTTCCAACTACACCGCTTCTTCAGGGTAAATAATGTCACACCCTAATACAACACACCACACCTTGGAACACAACACGCACTCACAACATAAACGACCACACTGCACACGATGTCAGCACAGAAGTTACCACCATACACGATGACACCCCACACCATCAACAAAAAGAGGGATTGGATCTTCAATTCACCTCATTCGAAATAATTCCGACCTCTTTGCGCAACGTAAATGTATGAAATCGCTATCTCCGCTACCAACCGTCAAAACTTTCTGAGTTTAAAATCGTAGTATTAATTTTTATCACAAAAGTGTTAAACCAATAAAAAACTTGTGAAACATTCAATAAAAAAATAAAGAATATTTCAATTTAAACCTTAAAAAGGCGTTTGTGAAAGAAAGGGGAAGTAATAATGTCAATGTTGAGTGCTAACATTATAGCATAATTATTCATTAGTAAATGACTTTGAATCTTTGGTCCATAACTTTTGACCACTGAAAAGGCGATAACTCACAAAAGAGACGCGTCACTAACACTCAATGTACAGTAAAAATTTGATATCGTAACTCCCACATTTTGGTAAAATCCTATATCGCTAGATCTACCCGACCCATTCCAAATAAAAATAAGTGAAAATGTAGATTCTTGTCAGCAGAGCAGTTCAAATTCGATGATACATTCGTAACTTCTTTTTCTGCTATGTTTTGATGTCAAAAGTGGATAAAATTACGTCAGATCACAAAATCTTACGGTTTTCACCGGGAGACACCAAAAAAATTCACAACAATACGCAAACTTCTTCAAGCTAAGCGAGGCTGGTCTACAAAAGGCCTTGACTAGGGAAACTATGGAGGCCATGATGGTGTTTATGGTAGACTAGCCGATGGTGGTACGGGCCATAATAGGGAACGAGTCTTTAACGGCCGCTGTGCACAAACCAGATTGGATACAAAGTACAATGATTCTGAAGCTGACAGCATATTTCTGGCACTACCGCTGCAAAGGCCGGGACTTAATTTTGGCCCACTAAGAAGGACTGATGAGTCTGACCCTGGCGTACGTATGCGAGTATCATACTCAACGGAGTCCATAATTAATTACGGCCTCTTGATCTTACCTTTATTCAGATAACCAATTGAATCCAAAGAAATTTTGAAAACGGTGGATTGGTTATCTCTGTATTCTTCGGTATCAAACAAGTTTTTCACAATGCAGCATATACCAGCGTCGTAAACCACTAGTCTACGAGGTAAGATCTTAAAAGATTTATCCAAATTATCAGCTCCACCAGGGGCGCTTTGGCGTTATATAGAGGGCGAACTTATATAACTGTAATAATTCGTACAGCATGGCCGTAACCGCTTTAAAGAACTGTCGTTTCTACAAAATAAAGACCGAAAATGTGGAGCATGTGCTATTGGAATGTTGCACTCAATTCATAGCCATAAATTCCAGCAGGCTAAGCATAAAACCCCAAATACGACCATCGAATTTATCAATGCTGGTGCTAAATGAGAGAATTGCAGAGGGTTTCAACCTTTTGGATGACATCATACTTCAGTTGCTTCAACTAAACCATTACTAACACGTTGCGATTTCATCCAAAGTACGTTGATACACACATATCCAATAAAGTCTGCGTTCACCCGACACAATTTTTTAAGTGAAGTAAAAACACAATGTAAATAGGTAATTCCGCTTAAATTTTCTATATGTATTTCTTCTTTATATTTTTAAGTTCAAAATGCAAAAACAAAAATGTATATCCCTATTTTCATTTTTATGATAACGGGATTTTAGTGTAATTGTTGCGCCGTTTTGTTCTGTTTATAATGATATGATATGATTTAAATGAGGTGTGAACAAAACCTACTGCCTAGTCAATAGAGGATTTAAAATACCGGATAAAGACAGCCCTGCGTTCACGTTGATTAAATTATTTATTGTTAAGTACTTTCATTATTACAGCATAAGTACAGTAAATTTATCTGAATTCTGTAAGGAAATGCAAAAATTAAAAATATATATCGAACCGTTTACATTGCAAAAAAAAACACGTATAAAGCTTTCTTTCTTGGTGATGTTGGGTGGAAGAAATTTGTTTTGTACGATTTTGAAAATCAATAATACCATATGTATATAAATCAGTTCATACATAAACTTTAAGTCAACAAATTTATTTTAGGTTATACCGCAATATATGAATATAGGATAGCAAGGTAATAAGAAGACAGAAACATCTCATTCAAACATTTATTTATCGATCTATTTAATGAAAAAACGGTTCTTTTGAAATCTGTTGACTTTCGCGATTAAGTTTGTGGCAGCGAATGCATCGATAATAGTCTGGAAATCCAACTACGTGGTTAATTCTACCTCTAGACACAGTGTAACTAGTCCTGAAATCTTACCCTGTGACGAGCATGATCGATAAAAATTTTTGATCCTTGCTAAAGCACTAAACGATCGGGGTGGTGAAACAGAAACGGGTAAAGTGCAAAATATTCTCAAAGCGATGCAAATATTTGGATAAAATTTTCATAATTTTCGAGCACTGATGTCATTCAATTCTAATTTGGAGTAGAACTTCCATAGGAATAAGAACGAATTATTTTGAATTAAATTTCTTCTTTACTATAATTTTCATCCACTTCTTTATGTAGGTCGTGGTCGTTTCCGTGTTTTTTTTTTATGTTTACTGGTGATAAAATCGTCTCGACAAGCTCTAAATTCTCTGCAGCAATTTTGCATTAATTATAAATTACTCTCTACTGGTCGCGCAGAAGTTGCAAATTGTATCGAATGGCATTGATCTCTTGAAGAACTAAGTTTCTTTCATTGATTGACTGAAGGAAAATTTTATCAACGTCTCGACGAGTTTCTACCATGAGGTTAAGTTTTTTAACTTCTTTCAAAGCAATTATTAATCCGGGAAGATTTTTCGCAAATGGATTGACGGCATCGGTTCTGGCAGACCACCTTGTATTAGAAAGACTGTGAAGTAAATTGCGTATTTTGGATTTAAGGATTTTCCAACGTTGTGTGCTTCTACTGAAAATATTTAAATATTTTTGAACGACATCGAAAAAAGTTATTGCTCGGGAACAGTATTTAGCCGAGTCGACTCCAACCAAATTCACCACATACCGAAAGAACTGCATACTTATTTTTCGTTGGATGTTAACTTGCGCACCTTCATATTTACTGCTCATATTACTACCATTATCTTAATCCAGTCCACGGCAATCTTCTATAGGAATGTTTTATTTTCCAATGCTTTGCAAATTAAAATGGTAATAACTTTTTCATTACAATCTACAAAAGCGAGAAAACGTTCCTTTATCTGTAATCCCAACGTTTAAATAAATGATTGAACTATTAACTATCAAAATCTTTCTTATTTTTAACTATTCACTAAATTTTTTGGAAAATGCGGGCCCATTCAAGAACTCCGGGTTCGGGAAAAATTTTTTAATTTAACTTGAGTTAGTTAACTGATGCTCAACCTACATTGAGAGTTGTCCAATAAAGTTGTCGTTGTCGTAGCCAAAGTAGGAAAAGTTCTGTACATATTATAATTTAGTTGAAATTAAAATTAAAAACTTTTACAAACAGATATATACCAAACAAGTAAGGAAGGGCTAAGTTCGGATGTAACCGAACATTTTATACTCTCGCAAAGTCAAATGATATACTCGTTTGAGATTTCTTTGTGGATTGACTGATATTTTCGGTAGAAGTTAACTATAGGCACTGGGGTCCACTTATTTAGTACTTAGGGGCTTAAACAGTTTTGGTTCAATTGAGACAATTTTTGGTCACAAGGTGGCATACTTTAAACGTATTATTCACGCAAAGTTTTACCCCGATATAATCATTGTTGCTTGATATGCATAGGGGAAAGTGAAAGAATCAGATGGAATTGAAAATGGTACTATAAAGGAAATAGGCGTGGTTGTAGTCCGATTTCGCCCATTTTCGCACTATAACATAGTAATTTAAAAAGAACGTTATGCACCGAATTTGATTGAAATCGGTTAAGCAGATCTCAAGATATGGGTTTTCAGCTAAAAGTGGGCGGTGCGACACCCACTGTCTAATTTTGAACGCGGTTCCTATGAAGTCATCTTATACCATCCCAGAGATAAAATTTAATGTCTCTGGCGTGTTTAGTGCTTGATTTATCGCGCTTTTAGTAGTTTTTAACAGTACCGTTATATGGGGAGAGGGCGGAGTTGCCACCCGATTTCAACTATTTTCACACTGTAGATAGAGGTTCTAAAAATATTTGCTTCCAGTGAATTTTGTTATTATAGCATTAGCGGTTTAGGAGATATGCACATTAAACCTATTAGGGACCACGCCCACTTTGAAAACATTTTTTACCTGCAGATGCCCCTCCCTAATGTAATCCTTTGTAGTAAATAACAGTCTTGTATCTTATTGCCGAGCTTAGTTATGACAATTTATTTGTTTTTGATTAATGGCGTTTTGTGGGCGTGGCAATGGTCCGATTACGCCCATCTGCAATACCAACCATCTCACGGTACCAAGAAACATGTCTATCAAGTTTCATAAAGATATCTCAATTTTTACTTAGGTTAGAGCTTGCACGGACGGACGGACGGACAGACAGTCACCCGGATTTCAACTCGTCTCTTCATCCTAATCGTTTATATATATATATCCCTATATCTAACTCGATTAGTTTTAGGTGATAAAACAACAACCGTTAGCTGAACAAAACTACAAAGCTACAGAGTATCAACAGGTTGCGAAAGTATAAAAATATTACCAGCATTGACGATTGTCTAACTCTGCCCTTTATTATACCGACCATATTCCTTGTGAATGAAGCAGCGTAAAACTGTATGCACTCTATTTCATTGTGAAAGTTGGAAATGTCAAAGCACTCTCTTAGTGTTGGTACAAGAATTCCTAAACACACACTTCCTTGAATTTTCTTTACTTGATTGTTTTGATTACTTAATGGATGTTTTAACACGCATTATCGAACAAAAAATTGAACATATGAAGTAAAATATATTGAACCGCAGACCATTGCTTAAAAAATTTTAAAATGAAACAAATATTTAGTTCTGAATTAATTGTTTTATAGAAACATTTCTATGTTTAAATATTCCCATTTATATATAATATAAAATTTCAATAATTAAATAATAAAGTATTGTAGAAACTTTAAGGCATATTTGTAATTTATTTTGGTTACTCATATAATATTTCAAGTGCAATCATATACATACATATAAATATATTTGGCATTCATGAGCGGAGTATGTTATTTAATCATTGTAAAGCGCTCACATATCGCTTATCTTAATAAATTTATAATACGCACTCGATGTACTGGTATAAAATTATTATTGGAATTAGCTTCACATTTATGAGATTTTTTATACAATGTGTAAAAAATATTATGTACATATCGACATATTGTCGATTTATTACTTTGATAAGGAAATATTCGAATACTAGACTAAACTTTATTATTTAAACTGAGGAGATTTTAATGAACTTACATTTTTGCTAGACATTTAACCCGGTTTCTCTACAAAACTAGAGACAACCTAAAGCACAAATCCTTATATTCGTGATATCAGTGCTGTTGGAGGTCACATATATGGTAATTACCAAAAACTCCGATTTTCTTCATATTCAGGGCTAAACCCCACTATGGTTAAGAAAACATATTCAGTCATATATGAGAACTTGAGTAAATCGTGGACCGATTTATAGATAACCAACCGGAAATTTTAAAATTATATTAGGTATACCTGTAGAGGCTCGACACCCGTGTCAAAAATTACCTAACTTAAGAATTTGCAACTTTTAGCTTACTTTATACCAACATATTGGTCAATCTGAGCTATATCTTAATAGAAATCAAATCTTGTGGTAGTTATGTACCTTAGAGCAAAAAATAGATTAAATCGTGTCAATACTTCCCCTAGCTCACGTGTACCTGACAAAGTCATTTCCGCCTTTCCACTTGTTTATGAAGGCATTACGGAGAGTTGCGATCCGGGATAGTGCTTTTTCCCCAAAGAGGTTTTATGGGAAAAGCAATGGACTTTACATGTTCCTAATAACTACTGAATACCATTTAAATCGTCACATTGCAAATTTGTCACCATTATTCGCTCCAGATTAAAACAAGGGAGGAAAACAATACAAATTGTATAAATCCTCTGTAGCAACAGGTTGCGAGAGTATAAAAAAGTTTACTTTAAATATTTTATGAAACTTTCGAAGAATATTTATTTTTATACTTCCGCAACCTGTTGCTTCAGAGTATAATAGTTTTGTTCACCTAATGGTTGTTTGTATCACCTAAAACTAATCGAGTTAGATATAGGGTTATATATATAATATATAAATGATCAGGATGAAGAAACGAGTGGAAATCCGGGTGACTGTCTGTCCGTCCGTCCGTCCGTGCAAGCTCTAACCTAAGTAAAAATTGAGATATCTTTATGAAACTTGATAGACATGTTTCTTGGTACCGTGAGATGGTTGGTATTGCAGATGGGCGTAATGGGACCACTACCACGCCCACAAAACGCCATTATTCAAAAACAAATAAATTGCCATAACTAAGCTCCACATCAAGATACAAGACTCTTATTTGGTATACAGGATCACAATAGGGAGGGGCAGCTGCAGTTAAATTTTTTTTATAAAGTGGGCGTGGTCCCGCCCTTAATAGGTTTAATGTGCATATCTCCTAAACCGCTAATGTTATAATAACAAAATTCACTGGAAGCAAATGTTTTTAGAACCTCTATTGACGGTGTGAAAATAGTTGAAATCGGGTGGCAACTCCGCCCACTCTCCATATAACGGTACTGTTAAAAACTACTAAAAGCGCGATAAATCAAGCACTAAACACGCCAGAGACATTAAATTGTATCCCTGGGATGGTATGAGATGACTTTATTGGAACCGCGTTCAAAATTAGACAGTGGGCGTGGCACAGCCCACTTTTAGGTGAAAGCCCATATCTTGAGATCTGCTTAACCAATTTCAACCAAATTCGGTACATAACATTCTTCTCATATCTCTATGTTATAGTGCGAAAATGGACGAAATCGGACTACAACCACGCCTATTTCCCAGATAACACCATTTTAAATTCTATTTGATTCTTTCACTTTCCAGTATGTTCAAGCAACAATGGATATATCGGGGTAAAACTTTGCGTGAATAATGCGTTTAAAGTATGCCACCTTGTGACCAAAAATTGTCTAAATCGAACCAAAACTGTTCAAGCCCCTAAGTACTAAATATGTGGACCCCAGAGCCTATAGTTGACCTTCTACCGAAAATATCAGTCAACCCACAAAGAAATTTCAAACGAGTATACCATTTGACTTTGCGAGAGTATAAAATATTCGGTTACATCCAAACTTAGCCCTTCCTTACTTGTTTTATATTAATTTCATCTTGTACTTACAAATTTTTTCCACCATTTGCATAAGTATACCTATATAGAAGTAAGTAAGGAAGGGCTAAGTTGAGGTTAATCGAATATTGTGTACTCTCGAAATTTGCAAAAGTCAAAGGTAGAAAAATACTTTCAGGTGTTGCAAAACTTTATATTAAACAAGTAAGAAACAATTCATCATAATTAACTCAAATGAGATATACGTGATATAAACTCAATCAAAGCTAAATGTAATAAAGGGGGTGATGAAAACATCAACCAAAGGACGGGAAATCCCAATTTAATTCAGAACTAATGAAAATCATGTAGTATATGATAGTGGGGGTAATATGTGTCGATATCATACATTTTCAGCATAAAACTATGGTATATCCAATAATACACTTTCACTTAATTTTGGTGAAATATTGAATATTATTGGCAACCAAAATATTGAAATTTTTTATAAGGTATATTGGTGCTAAAGAATGTATTGACTCGACTTTATACAATTTTGATATTGCGATATACATGGAATTTTATTAAGTCCGATTTACTTGGTTAGGCACTGATTTTTATGAAAGCAAATGCTTGATTACAACGACTATACCTATTTCTTCCACAAACAAATGGTTTGTTGATTATTTAAAGAATAACTGTACTTTATTCAAAAATGAACACACATCTAAATATTATTTCAATTAACGGTTTTTCGTAACCATCATTTTGAGCGGATAGTTTCGAGGCGAAAATGTATTGCTGCCACGAATCCCTATGATTCTTCCAGATGTGCCAATTAAATTTAAACGCACTCGATGAATAACTCACAAGGCTAAACGTTGTTTGGTCGTGGTTTAGATGTGGGTACGCCATGCTTTTCCACCGGAAAACTTTATGTGCTATGTTCTCGCGAGAGCAAACCATCCAGTTTCTTTGTATTCGCTGAAAACAGACTGTCCAAAAATATTGTACACTCCATTGCGTTAAGAGATTAATCTTTGTTTATTTTTAATTGAAATAATTAGTAGTACAAATAAGAACTCTTTTCGATGAGCAAATAGGCAGCTATCAATAATTGGAATTTAATATACTTTTCACACACATATATAGTGTTAGTTATTTTTCGATTCGGTTCGACGAAAGTAAAATACCTAACTAAGGTCCTCGTCCTTCCCGACCTATGGAAGCCTTATCGCCCGATAACTATCCCCTCCTCAGTAGTGAAGACTCCTATTTATTGTTACTCACGACTTTTACTCACCATACATGAATATAGCAGAGCATCAACATGGTTTCCATAAAGTGCACAGCAGCACCACAACACTTAGCGTCATAAACGCCCAGACAGTTCATGGCCTAAAAAAAATAATACACCTTGTGAGACGATACTAGTTGCGCTGGACTTGTCAAAAGTTTTTGACACAGTCTATCAGACAACGCTACTAAAATCCGTCGAACAATGTACGCTCCCTGAAGGGCTGAAGAGGTCAACCAAGAACTATCTGAACTGTCGACAATCATCCGCACTATTTCGAGGTCAGAGTTCTAACTTAAGAAGATTTAAACAGTTAGGACCGACGAGTGATGTCCGCTCCCCGCTACTGTTTACTTCTATATCGCGAACCTCCGTCAACCATCATCACTTTATACGCTGATGATTGTTAGATATTGTGCACCTTCACTACACATACAATCGCGATTATTGCAAAAGAACAGAGACGCAACAAAATCCGACTGGATGTAGTGAAACGAAGACGAAGAAGCTTCAGGTGGGCCAGAACACTGCACTCCGTACGATAACAGGATGCCTCCTGATGTCTCCCGCATAGGGAGGCCTGCGTTCTTTCGGTTAAGGAACACAATGAACTCTTTTTCAAACACTTTCTGCTGGGATATTTTCACAGAAATCATGTTCAAATCCATTTATTCATATTATAACAAAATATGATGCAAATAGAATATTAATACATTTTGCAAACGAATTAGAAAGAAAGATTTTATCGTCAATACAAAATTCATAATCGGAGTAAATCTTGGTGTTGGATTGACCAGTGTTATTTTTTTGAAGCGAAACCAAGGCCGCCAAAGCAAAAAGGAGTTCCACTCGAAAGAACTGAGGACACCCCGGACGGAGTTTGACCAACTAGTGTAAGTGTAAAATTCACTATAAATCAAAGAAACACGCACTTTAAACAGTTGAATTTTTGTAATTTAAGTGCGCATATCTCAAAAACTTCAGGTTAGCGACAACTATTTATGTATTTTTTTTTTAATCTGGAGAACCTTCTCTATCCGTACATACCCATTTTAACCAGAAATTTGGCGGATGCTATTCTAAAATTTACCCCTAACCACTTCTTTGCATGACCAATAAAGCCTTATCATCTAGCACCCCTCTTCCTATGTTAAATGGTTTCGATGAGAACTAGCTTGAACCTTGCCACCCAAACTGAAATTAGAAAACCGTTACAACAACGACAGCAACAAAGAGTGTAAATGTATCATATGGTTTAGGTCTCCCAACGAAGGAGGCCGCGAAAATGATAATTTTTTTATCGTCTTATTTTGACGCGAATATAAGAATCCGGTGAGTAAAAATATCTTTTAATTACTAAATTTTAGATTAAAATCACATTAAGTGCTTTATTACTAGTCTATTGCACAATCCCATAGAATTTAAAGCAGTGAAAATCTGATACCATAGTTGTATCGATAAACTTACACAAAATTGTAATTTCGCAGCGCAGAAAAAGTCTGCGTAAAAGTAGTAAAATGGAAATTCTTCGCGTAAAAACAAAGAGTACAAGTGTCGGAAAGTTATAGCTTTATTTGTTTTCGTAAAAGTAGCAATTTTAACCGATTTTAGTTTTATTTAATTTGTTATTAAATTTAGAAGGACGAATCTCGCTTGAAAGAAATCAAAAGGGTCCTCTGAAAAAGAAATACTGATTAAACTTTTGGCAGAAGTAAAAACTAATGGTGAAATCAGTCGAATTGTTGGAAGAACAAATTCTTCCATAAAAAGAATAATCAAAATCTCGGCCCGTCCAGGGCGGCCAAAAATATTATATTAGCATAGCAGAAAATATGAAGCGCAAAACCCCCGACTTACTGCAACCAAATCGCTCAAAATTTTAAGGAATCCCTATGCATTAACACAATTCACAAAATTAAAAAAAACAAAAACGTGTTTATCAGTGATTCATATTGTCAGTAAATAGACAAGTGAGTGCATAATGCTTTTCGGAAGAGCACTTCAACAAGCATCGGAAATTTTGGCAGAAGTTTATTTTGTCCGATGAAAACAAGTTTTGGATCTTTGGTATCAAAGGCCGAAAGATTTTATGGCGAAAAATGAACAAGGCACTCGATAAAAAAAATCTTGATACATACTGTGAACAACGGTGGTGAAGAAGTAATGATATGGGGGTGCATAGCTAGTAGTGGTGTAGTCCGAATGGAAGTTGTAGACTGCACCATGGACAAATATGCATACCTTAATATCTTAAAAATAAATTTGAAACAAAGAGCGGAAAAATTGGGTCTTGGAAGAGAATGCAATTCTACAGGTTAACGACCCGAAGCATACAGCATAGACATAGTTAAGCTTTGGTTACTCCTCAACGTTCCCAAACAACTTCAAACACCACCAGAATCACCAAGTTTGAATCCTAAAAAGCACCTATGGGATTCACTGAAACGTAAAATCCGCCAACGCACAATTACCTTAAAGGATATTCCCAAGGATGTGCTGAACGTTAGGGATATCCGACTTTCTTTACATTTT